CTGCTCATCTTCAGCTAGGGTAGACCAAATTTCACAGTCGTAAAGCACTACTTCGCTTATGTAAACATTGCAAATTCCAACTTTGACAGCCACTCGAATGTCTCAACCCTGCTAAAGATGGCCTAGGTTGGCGTTGTCACACAACTACCTACATACACAAACTCATATATTACTTGTAACGGTTCACTGACTGCCAACTGATTAAGTGCGATTTTGATATCCTCTAAGTTGCAGCACAGTAAGACTATAACCGTCTGCAAGTTTGAGATGGAAAAGTCTTTCTCCAGGTAGCAGATCTACACCACCACGCACATCCCTCAGAGCTGTCTGCAGAGTTTCATCGATGGCGAAGTTAAAGAGATATGGTGAGGATAGGCTGGTTGTATGCCTTCACTCTCTACCAGAGGTGCTTTGTAAGGTCTTCAGGATGTTGTAAGCTTCTTAGAAACACATCTGTCGACCAGACAATTTCAGAAAGCAATTCTCTCCAAGAAATCGAAGCCAACCTTAATATCAAGAAATTCAATGACTCTGGTCTGAGATACGAGTGATTATGTTCTAGCAGCTAATGTAGGATGAAGACGTGATCAATGCATCTGTAACCTGAACAAGATCTAGCCGGCTCTTCGCGAATAGATTTGCCACAAGTATTATACAGCTTATGGGGCAGCATACCAGGTGATATTTTTGTCGGAACTGGTAACAGACTAACACCCTTGATTGCAACGTGAAATAGAAAGGCCTTCTTTAAAGATGCACATGATAGTAGCTTCAGTCCACGTTGATGGAACATTCTCACTTTCCCATGCCTTCCAAGACGATCAGAATAATTTCGTGATTAGCTTTAAGAAGAGTCGTGGGCAATTTATCTGGATCGGGTGCTTTACAGTGCTTCAGTATTTGAAATTCTTTTCGGATTTGCTTTGGTTCGGAGGGCTCTCAGTAACCATGAATGGAACACTGTAATTGGTGGTGATGTTGGTATTGTTGACCAGCCAAACTGCTTCTCAAAGTATTCTTCTTAGCGTTCCATATGTCTTGCTGACCCAATGGTTGTTGCTGTCAGTAGATTGGATGAGCTGAAACAACCTCCGACTATTGCCAAATGCAGCTGTTGATTTCATGTCTTTAGCATGTTCTGATCTGCAGGCTTCGTAGTCATTATGTAAGCATTGTTTGATCGTATTCAAAGAGCTTTACGCAGGTGATTATGCTCACTATCCACTGAAATGATAGGACAGGTGGTTCGAAGTTACCATATGCAAGCGAAAACCTGGTGATTTTGAGCTAAACACTTTCAAGTCACAGATGTTGTATTGTAAACGCAGCAGATTTTTGTCCATAATATTCTGGATATTAACCAATGTTGGTTCTACGTGAGTTTGATACTAAGCAGGTGTTGTCAGTTTACCTATGCCAGCTTGTTTTTGACAACCACCTAATAGCAAGATGAACGTAGCTCACCATATGCCATTATCAGAATCCAAACAAGTACTCCAGAAGTAGCGGCAGTCCTGTGTGCACCCACGCAACGGGTAGCTGATAACAGTGTAATTTATTTGAGCCCAGACTTAAGTGGAAGATGTATGACGCCAGGTAGCACCACGGAGATGGCTGTTATGGAAGTTGAGGCTGGCTAGAAATAGGTTATGAACTGCGAGAAGCTTCAGAAGGGTTCCTCATACAACATTTCATTGGGAGGGAGAAGACAAAGATCAGTAGTAATCATAATAATAATGATAATAGCTTTATTCCAAATAGTACTTGTGCTGCAAATATGGAATTTTCAGCGTGTAGTACAGTATTGCATCTCATTACAGGAGTAATAATAAAAACAGGGCATTTAAATTGATAATATTGTTCAATAAGACCGACAGAAAGACCAGAAGATCTAAACTTCGGGATGATTTGTGTCTAATGTTGCACAAACCCAAAAATCTACAGCCGAAAACCAACAAGTTTGTAGAAGACGCAACCAAGATAGGACTTGAACTGAATATAGAGGTGAAGAGACTAATCACAATCAATGGAAGAAATCTGAAGGAAGTCTTTACCTTGACTAGCTGCATCGGCATCGCCTAGACTGTGGAGTGGAAGAAAATCAGGTGAGGATAATGCATCATTAATAACCAATTTACAGAGGATATACAATGACGACCCGACCGATAGCTGCTACCTTGACGTGGTGGTCGGGCTTGAACACCGCAGGTCCTACCATGCCAGAAAGGTTTTTTGGATAGCGGTTAGACAAAAAGCAGCTACCCAATCCAATACTATGACTCAAACAAACTCACAAAATATCATGGCGGATCGGTCGGGGCCCGGATTAACAACGACCGCGCTTTCTGCTGCCGTGTCACAGGGCAGAAGTGATAAATACGCTACTGAGACACACCAAATAAAAAAGAACAAACAAAAACAGGCCGTGTGTGACCGGCCTCAAGCAGTTGTCCCCTGGGCTCTGCGGTCACGCAACACTAACCTTTCTCTCTCCCCTTCTCAGGCGTGAGGCTAGCAACCCCACCCTGTAAACAAAGCTGCTACAGAAACTTCAGCACAACGAATCTCCTCGCGCCAAAAGAAAAAGTCTGTGTGGGGACATGGAATGTCCGCACCATGTACGAGATCGGCAAAGCTGACCAGACCGCAAACGAAATGAAAAGATACGGAATTCAAGTACTGGGGATATGTGAAAGCAGATGGAACGGGAATGGACTCACCAAATTGTCAACGGGTGAGTCAGTGATCTACTCCGGTCACCCAGAGGATAACCACATGCACACCGAGGGCGTGGCTATCATGATGCCACCAACGGCAACGAAGGCCCTCATGCAATGGGAGGCGATCTCGCCCAGGATAATGACCGCCAGATTCAACTCCAAAGTAAGGAAAGTGTCAGTTATACAATGCTATGCACCGAATAACAACGCAGACCTCGAAAAGAAAGAAGAACTCTACAGACAACTACAGGCAACAATGGACAATACTCCAGTCGGCGACATTAAAATACTAATGGGAGACATGAACGCCAAACTGGGACCAGACAACACAGGAAGAAAATTCATCATGGGTAGAGAATCTCTCGGAGAAATGAATGAAGACGGAGAACGCTTCGCCGACTTCTGCGCCTTCATTGAACTAGTGATTGGTGGCAGCGTATACAAACACAAGGCTACATGGGTGTCACCAGATGGGCGAACCAAAAACCAAATTGACTTAATCTCAATCTCAAGGAAGTGGAGGCGCAGCCTACTGGACACGAAAGTTAGAAGAGGAGCAGACGTTGGCTCAGACCACTACCTCGTACAAGGGACAATCCAAATCAAATTAAAAGCTTTCAGAGAAACATGAGCTGCAGATAGACCACAAGCCAAGTTCAACACTCAAAAACTGAAGGACCAGGACACAAAGGACATCTTCACTGCAAGCATAAAGGACAAAGCCGGGACACAAATCAACACTAGCGAAGAGGTCAGCGTCGAAAAGCACTGGAACAACTTGAAAACAGTGTGGAGTCAAACCTGCATGGAAGTTCTAGGCAGAAAGAAGAGACAGGACAAACAGTGGCTCACTACGGACACTTGGAGACTGATAGAAGAGAGAGGGATGGTGAAACAAAAGATTCTCCAGTGCACCGACGAGCAACAAAAACAGGATTTGAATGCAAGCTACAAGACACTGGACAAAAGATTAAGAAGAGTGAGTTCAGCGAAGAATAAGCGTGTTTTTTTATATTTTTAGTTTATTTCTTCTGCATTGAAGTCTCCGTAGGAGTTTGCTTGGTTTTGTGGTGAAGGGGAGTTAGCCCCACACCAAACCCCCCAATCTTTACCCGGGTGTGGAACCGGCTAGAAAACTAGTAAATTAGGCGAGGTTCCTTTACAGTCTAACATTACTTAATCAGACTATTTAATTGTTTCTCTTAGCCTACATACAGCAGCAATTTAGCTTCTTCCATGTATATATATATATATATATATCCGTAAAGTTAAAAAAACCAACCATTCCCGACAGTCTGCTGCAAGTAGCTTCGTTCGATACTAACCGGCCAGAAAGAAAGAAATCGGGATTTCATGCAGAAACCCTGTTTACCACTCGGAACTTCCAAGGGTGACATGGAGATTAAATGAAGAGATGAAAGCTTGTGGACGAACGTGGATTGAGTTAAATATGACAGATGAATCAAATGAAGCTGTATTGCTGAACCCCTCAGTCATACACAGGGGAGAATATATATATGGGTAGTAGAATATTTTGTTTATGAACTGATCTCATCCTCCGTGTTATGTTTGAAGGGAATCTTGGATAAAATTAAAGGCAACATTAGATATACATTTCTTACGTAACTCTTATTCCGACTAAATCGGAGAGGCGTTCACCTAGTCTCTTAATATGTTTTTATCTTATCGGAGCTTGATTAATTAATAGAACAGTTCTGTTTAACTTAAAGCAATGCATATTACAATTTACATGAAGCCTTTCCAGTTGCAATACTATTTTTATATGAAGATACGATTAATAATCATGATGAGAAACTGCCATACGACTTGGAATAATTATTCTCAAAGTTTTTTTAAAGTCCAGCAAATAAGGCGAATAAGGTCAGCAACATATTACGCTGAATGAAATTACAAGTCAAGATAACCAACAGTTCTTATGGTAGATTTTCAAAATGAGTACAGTATAAAGTAGTAACAGTTTAATATGGTAAAATGTAAGTGCAAAGGCCAATCTTCTACAAGTTGAGAGATTGAATACATTTGTTCACCACGCGAATGAAAGCGAGTGTATAACGCAAACAGTAGTTTACTAGCAAATAACAGATGAACAGAAACACACTGAAGAGATATATACAGTTGATTGTTACAGACAGAAGAAAAGAAAGTCGAAGATACAGACACACACACACACTTCTTCTTCAAAATGTTCTACATCAGTTGTTCACAACGTTTCATTAAAAAAATATTGTAAACACATTTCCTTCATTTTGAAGTCAAATATCATAAATACTGTTGTTTCCCATGACTAAAACGACTGGAAAGTTGTTTAGAACGCTCAACAATCGCTTTTCTAGCTGCGGCGTCAACTCGAAACAATTTAAGATCTTTTTCACGATCGAATGGACGTCTGATTGAATCAGGAGACGGGGATTTTTCATGTTTTTTCTTATGTTTCTAGAAATAAAGCATATAGGAGAATGTAAAACAACTAACTTTGGACTTATGTTTATGCTTTTTAGATTTTTCTTTATGTTTCTTAAGCTTTTGCTTCAATTTTTCCTCATGTATTTCTAACAAACTTGACTTTTTACTGGAGCCCTAGAAAATGAAATGGGTAGATGTTCTGGATTAAACTAAAGCAGACTGGAAATACCTGATACTGAGAAGCAATTTTCGCCATGCTTTGGTCGTAAGATTTATTTCCTTCAAAATTCAGTTTGTCGATTGGTTCTTTCGCTGCCTGAAATGAAAATATATAAAGAAAGTATTTAGATACATCGGAAGAGCAAAATGAATCAGAGTTCACTGAACAAAATTTCCTCATAACTGCCAATGAAAATCATCCAGTTGATTGCCAAGTAAAGCGGTAGAGGAGATTGTGTTTAAATTGATAGTGAATGTTCCGTCAGTGAAATATACATTATATTCCTGACTGCGGTGGGCTAGATCGTGCAATAGACAGGCATACGAGAAGACCCAAGAAGATTTAGACTTCGTGGGCGATATATGTTTAAGGTAATAAACTCGAAAGTGTACATGTGAAAACCAAAACACCCGCAAAAGAGGCAGAGAAGACCAAACTTCAAGTGAACACAGAGAAAAAAGGGGTGATGAGCAGACCGAACCAACAACAACAAGTATTAATCACCATTAATGAGAGGAATCTAAATTAAGCAATCTCTTCCATTTATCTAAGCATCATCGTTTTAACTGAAAGCCGCACAGATAGGGATTCAAAAGGTAGGATCGAAAAGCAAGAAAAACCTTCACAGGAATTAGCATGGAAGTGTGCTAGGCACAGCACAGTCAGTGCTTCTATATAGTTCAGAGGATTGGTGCGTCATCGAAAGCATTTCCAAAAGTCTACTGCAAACTTTCACCTATAACTACTTTTGCTCCATACTGAAGGGCAGATGCCAAAAAGGGATTAACGAGAAAGATGTCTGGGAACGAACCAGCCAAGAACCTATCGACCGAAAAATATACCGAAGAAAATGGATTGGATATACACTGAGGAGTCTATCGAGTGAAATCCCGCAGTAGTTCCTCTGAATGGAAAACGACAATTTGTGTGTCTGAGGGTGAAATGGAGGAGGTCGCTTGAGGAAATGAAGGTTTATGGGAGTAAGCTAAGAGAGAATGGAAGAAACAGGGTGAGATGAAGGTGTACTGTTGAAGCCCAATAATTCACGTGGACGACATGTAGTAAGTAATACAAACTTTTCGCAAACTGTTGAATCGAAAAAAATAGCATACTTAAGATAAACACACTGATGAGCAGTAACACATATTGAAAGAAGATGGAGTTAAGAAACTATATGTGGCTCACGAAATCTGTCATTCTAAATGTGTACCAAGTTGTGGTGAAACTAGATATTTAAATAAAGGAAAAGTCACTCAATATCCACTTGTATTTAAATGAAGTAGAGGTTGAACCGCACTTTAGTGTTAAGGTTAATGATGCTATTTGACAAGCCAAACGTCGGTAATGAGGACGAGGTTCGAGTCTGTGACTTACTTGTTTGAAGGTAAGTGACACAATCCCATAAATTTAGTTCTACCAAACGCTTTGCAGCAAGCGTAATGTTGCAAAAGTATCATGAAGTTGAGGACTAAGAAAGTTTGTTCCATTATCACGTGCTGTTTGAATTTTAATTTTTTAGATTTTAAGCTCAACCGTTTTAGCAGATTACATCAAGTCATAAGTTTATGTTTCAAAACACTAAAAATTAAGTCAGTGTAGTTTTGTCCAATAGACGTTCGTCTACTAGTGTATCGGAACTCAGTTACCGGAACCGATCTTCTATATCCCAAGTTAAAAGCCACACTTAATGTACTAAGGCTGATGACACTCCCCAGGTGTCCAGATTTAAGTAGTTGGGGTAGGAATTAAACCTAGGACTTGCTGGCTGAAAGTCAATACTTCCCACTCAAAGATTTTCACCAAATAAATATGCGTATTTACACTGAAGTGAAAAATGGATAGGTACACATTAACACTGGGCACCTATGGCTTCTTCTTTCTACATACCCGACCTAACATTCGAATAGTATGATCACTGACTTGGTGTTTCTCAGGGTAAGAGCAGCCGTATGACGCAATCAACGAACAGATGTAAATATTTATATAATGTATCTACAATTTGCTACGAAAGCAGTTTAACGTATAGCAAAACACTTCAAAAAACGGTAATTTATGTGAAAGTGTAAAGACATATGAACGTAAAGATACTGATAAAAATATGTTTTACTTCTAACGGTTCACTGGAGTCAGATGGCGCAGCAAACCACGAGGCATCATGATGTACAGAGTGACCTGAAATGTCTTGACGAAATTTACGCGGTTTCAGTGCACCGAGATCATTAGACATCGGCAGTAGCTCCGTCATCCATGCATCACGTTTTGGTTTATCACTGACTGGTCGACTGGAACCTCCTGAGTGCTAAATACATAAAATATAGAGTAAGGAATACAATCAACAACAGATAAGTATATGGGACGATTTATAACTATGGTGGAGATTCCCACCAACCACACAGTAGTATATGAAAACACTATTTTCTCTGACTACCTGTAATTTATATGCTCGTGGGTGTGGGTTTATCATTGTATTAATTTGTCAGGTAATAGATAAAAGCACCTAAATACAAAGATAACATGTACCGAAGCCATCTCTTTGTATGGTAGAGTTTCCAATCACTAAACTTCTCAATCATTACACCTTAAATCACACGCTGGAATCATTAAGAAACTTTGGGGACTAGTGTCCAACAGACATATTTCGTTGTAATCTGAAAAGTCAGGTATCGTGCCTATTATCCTATAGGATCATATTGCTAATGTGATTATTATTTTCCTGCTATAGCATCTTCGTTCAACTATTCAAAGTAAAACCTCAAATATCGACTGATTTGTTATTGACCATCACACTTCACTACAGTTAGCTTAGTCAAATTATACTTTATCAAACAGTGTTCACGTTATTAAAACGTAAAAGAATTACCTTGGTATCGGTAAGGCGAAAATAAATCTGAATCACCATAAAGTAGCATATACATGTTACAGGAAGAGTGACAATACAAGGTGAAGCAAAAAGCATATTCTACAATAATATAATACTTTATCCACCTCTTCCACATTTTTGTTGGAAACCGAAGTTAAAATAATGAGTGTCAGACCGATATCACACAGTTCACACACGATGCACTATCAACCAACTATCTTCACTGTTCCCAACCGACAGTGGGGTTACACAGGGTTGCCTAATCTCTCCATTTCTCTTTAACTTTGCCATCGATGACATTCTGGAGTCAGCTCTGAAGGATGTGCGTGAAGGTGGTGTAGATCTGGAGATAGACTTTTCGACCTCGAGTATGCAGACGATATTGTCTCACTGTGCGATAGCATGCAGGCTGCCCAAATCGCACTTAATCAGTTGGCGATCAGTGTCTGTAAGTATGGTATCTGCTTTGCACCGTCCAAGTGCAAAGTACTGTTACAAGATTGGCAGGAGCCTGCACTCACTCTTGCAGGTGAACCACTTGAAATTGTTCATAAGTTTTTGTATCTGGGTAGTTGTGTGAGTGCTGACGGAGCGCTGACGGATGAGATTTCCAATCGTATCGCGAAGGCTAGGGTGGCATACATCAACTTGTGCCACCTCTGGCGCCGTCGCGACGTTAGCCTGGCTGTCAAAGGTCAGGTATACAATGCTTCGGTGCGGGCTGCCTTGCTCTACGCCTGTGAAACCTGACCTCTCCAAGCTGAGGATGTGCGGCGACTCTGCGTGTTCGATCATCGCTGTTTCCGCAGGATTGCTTGCGTGCGATGGCATCATCGCGTGAGTAATTCTGAGGTTCAGTGCCATGTGTTTGAACACAGTGGAGATCACCATTCGTTGAGTGTCGTCATTTGGAGACACCGGCTTCGGTAGCTTGGACATGTGCTGCGAATGTCATCCCAGAGGCTTATGTACAGGTCTCTATTCGCTAGCCCTGCGGCGGGGTAGAAAAGGCAGAGAGGTCGTCAGCCCATGACGCAGTGTTGTGGGATGAAGGATATTTGTGCTAGGTTAGAATCGGTTGGTGGGCCACGACTCCCTGGTTGGAGTCCGAGAGATAGCTGGAATCGATGGCTCGAAACATTATCGGATATGGCCAAGAATCGTAGTCAGTGGTGAACGTGCTGCAATTTTCTTTTTCTTTCCTTCCCGGTTATAGTTGACGAATGCTGTTTGAACTTATTAAGTATGACTGCTCTCCTTCCAGATGAAGTTCTTTATTCGTTTTCTACCTATATTTTTACTTTTAATCTATGTTGTTTCATTATTATTGTGTGGTGCATATTTTTGGTGACATATTGTACCAAATTTTCTATGTTTAAATAATAAATAATAATTATAACGATGCACTGTCATAATAGGAGTAACAAGAGGTAAGCAATACGTGAAAGCAATTTAAGGTATAGAAGTATCAAGGTACAACAAAGAATGAGAGAAATAAATGGATTTCAGGTTAACTTTCAAACTAGTAAGCTTCCATCACACAGATGACAGCCATTACTGAAAACTCCGTAGCGTGATATAAGAAAAATATCAAGGAAGTGATATATATCGACAGGAAGTCCTGAATCTACAGTCTGTACTTCCATCCGAAATCATCACGTAGTGTGAGAATTTATAAAGAGCTGTCATCTGAAGTGAGGACAAGCTGTAACGTCCGTCAACAATGTTCACTGTCCTCATGTCTGTTTACTTCCAATACATATGTATCCTAAATGTCTACAGAGACTCAGGAATTGACTTGTTACCAGAGAACAGTTTAGTAGAGCTTGAGTATACCGATGACATTCTCCTTCTAAGTGAAAACGCAGGTAAAATGCAGTGTTGTGAACAGCTTGGGCGGAAACCTTCGCTTGTTTGGCATTTGACTCGCTCCTGTGAAATTTAAGATGATTATGCAGTACTGAATTACACTGACTCTTAGCTCAAAGAAAGAAAGCGAAGTGGTAGTGTGTTGATCAACTCACTTCTTTGGGAAGTTTCATCAGCCTTGGTGCAGTGACTGATTACTGATGGAATCTCAGCACAGATACAAAAGGCTCGCGTAGCATTCACCAAATCATTTCATCTCTAAAATAGACGGAATATCTGGCTATCTGCCCATCAAAGAACGTGCGTAGTGCACAACAGTTCACTCTGTCCTCTTTTATAGCTGTGAAACGTACATATTGAAAGTGGAAGATATGAAGCGGCTGAATCGCTGTCTTTGTCCACACATGTTTACGTTCTATCTCCCGTTTTAAGTGGTAAAATAATATGGCGAATAATATTGAGGTTAGACGTAGAGCATTAGATAAAGAGGTTAAGTCACTCACTCAGTCAGACAGAAACCTAATATCAGTCCATGAAAACCTTGACAGTTAGTTTGAGCCAGGTAAGCAGGTGTTGACTATCTTTTTTGGGTTCCTCGGGATTCTGAAAACGGACAGCTAGAGATGACGCGGCTCAAAATCATTGTCAGTGGTACAGATTCATTGATCTTCGAGATCGCTTGAGTCGTCATGTTCTTCAATGTCAGTATTCTTTCTGCTGTACATTTCTGCTCATTATAGTTCTTTTGAATTTCTCTTATTTTTATCCTTTCTATACCTTTGTGTGATACATGGAGTGTGGTTACTTGAAGTGTTGCACTTCTGTGCAAAAATATGTTTTGAAACTCGGACAGTTAGCAAGAGGTATCAATAAACTCGAAGCAAATAAGTGACGACTGACCACAGATTCGAACCGGTGTCACTCAGTAGGAGAGGCTATGGGTGAGCATCGGTTAGTTCCTCCGGGGGGGGGGGGCAGATACACTTATCTGATAACTTTCAACAGTATCAAAAACTATAACCCAGAGTATCCTGCTGACTGCCTATATTCATCTAACGTCAATTTTTAAGTGCATGAAGATCGTGGATCACATAGCTTGGAGAAATGATTGCAGACTCAACTGATAGAATTCAGTAAACATCAACAATAAGGACTAGACACCTGACATTGGATACACACTAATGATGAATCAATGCGTAAACGACAGTTTTATTCATTGCAATATTGGCTTGTTCTCAACAATGATTAATAAGTTTAGCATTGCATTTTGCTATACAATCTATATACAACATCATTCATGCTTACTATTTCTGTAAATTGGTCTGCTGTAGCCAAATTAAATAAAATCCACTAAAACTTTCACGGACGGAAACTGTAACAAAGGATATTGTATCTCATTTTAGGTAAATATTGAAAAACACTGATTGTGACTGATAACATTTTCAACAGAAAATAGCATTCAATCTAGTGAACAAACCGATGTATATTCTTTTACGTGGTGTTTACGAGTTAGATTAAGACATATAGCAGCTTATTATGCAACGTCGTGGTGGGGAAAACGAACTGCAAGTACAATCTGTACCCTAACTCATACAAGTCAAGTGCTTCCATATAACAACCATACTTCTATTAACCTATATTTAAACCACTAGCATTCTGAATAGAATATTAGGCAAAATGGTTACCTTATGTAAAATGCATAAGTAAAGCAGCCTGTGGGGATAAATACCAAAGAAACAAACAGTTTTTTGAACAGCAGAGTAGCTACCGAAAAGCAACTCCAGGTAACGCGTTGTTTTCAAGTAGACACAGCACTGCCAATGAGGGTAAATTGATGAATATACAGAAAATAAGTGCAACGTAAGAGGATTAATAAACACCTTAACAGACGGAATTTTATTTTTACGGTTTATCGTAGGAATCCTACATACATGACTAGAAAGATATGATCAAAGGCTGAGGTCTTCACACAATCCTGCATTACCGGCAATTTACAATTTATCTAATAAGAATAATATATATGTTCAATAGCAAGTGTCGTTAACTATTTAGTATGGTAGACTATCAAAATGATCTAGAAATGAGCATAAAGCAAATTTATAGATAAGAATTTAAACATAAAAAGTGATACCTGATACATGAAAATTAACATACACCGGATTTTAGATGTCGCCACTCTTCTCTTAATTCTTGTCCAGGTATTAGAGGCCCAATAGTATCCATATCTTCAAAATCATCCTGTAACTTGGATACTTCTGATTCTTTAGCTAACTTTTGTCGAAATAAATCAGTAGGTAATGCAGGTCCGATTCCACTTGATGGAGCTATATCATCTGGTCGCAAAGCTGGTCCAATAACAACAAGACCAGTATTAGAATCTGCTGCTGTTTCAGACATATATATATATATTATTCACACCTGAATAGAAAAACAACAGTTATGATGAAACGTATAAGACAGACGAAAATTTTTTTTATGAAAATAGCAAGCATAGAAATGTCCCTAACACGAATGGAATAACCGTTTCTGATGGACAGAATGAAAATAAGAATTGTTCTGGAAATTCCGAGATATACTGGGATCCACCAAATGAAAGGTGTTTCAGTTGATGAGTCACATAGTTATCTGAGTATCAAAGTAGAACTTTGCACAGAATCTCAGGACATCAAGTCGTCGTGTTCCATTTATCACACAAAGAAAAAGAAAAGAAAAAGGGCTGTAATGAGCAGAAATATGCGGCAGATCAAATAATTACATGGCAAAACATGAGGAATCAATGGATGTGGGAGATTACAGAGAGTGAATGAATATGTACCAGTGAATACGATTTAAGGCCAAATCACCTTCAACTCTTTTCCAACCTAGTCCCAAAGTCAGTTAACATTGTTGGATGGAGAAGATGGTGATTCGGCATGAGTAATGCGTGTCGCAGCCACTTCGTTCATCATCACTCAATATAGAAATAGTTAACAATTAGTAAAACAACATGCTCATTATGTTATAAAAGTGGGTTTTTCAAATCGCATTACCTTAATCGTAGAAAAAAAAGCAATATGAGGCAAAATAGCAGAAGACAATATGAGTTTTTGGCATCAAACTTTAAGCTTACTGAATATTCAAGTTCCTGAAAACACTGAAGTAATATTCCTTTGATTTCAGTTGATTACTCTGAGATGAATTAATTTGTGACACTTTTTTACTTAGAAGGAAACTAAAGTCTCCACCTTCGACTTCCCAATCAACAGTATCCAAATTATTCAATAAAGAAAGAACAACAGTTTTGCAGAATAAAATTGTACCATCATTTATTTCGTTTGCTTTCCATCAGTTGCTTACAGGCCAAAGTCATTATTGAGTATAATTATAAAACTTAGACACTGTGGTAGAGTATAACTCCGTTTTAGATAAGATTTTATTTTGATAAATCACAGTGTTATACAGTAATATATATATATATATATATATATATACAATATTAAACACTATTCCGAACAGTAATGACAATGCACAAGGGAAACTTTCAACATTACGTAATCAGATGAAAGAGATGTGAAAATATCCAGTTACCAGGGTAAAGAGAGACTGATAACTGCTTCCTTCTGAAAGCATAAATCAGGTTACAGACGTTTGATGGAGATCGCCTCGGCAAACTTGAGGGGAATTGAACTCTTTTGCCTACTGATAATTTTGAACGATCTTGCGACGTCCACCTCATGACACATGCCTGGCGATGGTACTGTTTAAAGCATTGTTCCTTCTGAAATAGGCTTTTTGGTACACGTTCAGAAAATCGTAGATATGCCCTTCTTTCTGTTCTTTCAATGTAACTGCTCCCGCAGATGCATGTAAATTTGTATATACAGTTGGAGTTAACATGAGAAGGACATCTGTCGATTTTTGACTGCACCAAAGAGCAAGTTGTTCGATAGACCGGAACGAGCTTAGCTGTAGGATAGGATCTGCCTAGAGACATCCTCAATCTTCTGTTGACTATTGCTGTAATATTTTCACCCTCATAGTCAAGTTGAATGTATACGGTCTTTTTCTCCACTGTGATTTGCTTGAAATTTGAGACTTCAGATCTTCTGTAATTGTTAATGAACCTATGAGGGTAACTATTTTTTCAAAATCTTTTCGAGAAAATAAATTTTTCCGCTAATTCCTCCATAGATCATAATCTCGACTCGAACTGCTGCACATTGGTGTAAAGTTTTATGTTGAAACCAATCAGTCAGTCATCAGATGACACCATGAACTTATTCAAAACGTTCATGTGGTTCACACTTTCAGCGAAATCAAATGAGTTATATATATATATATATATATATATATGTATATATATATATATATATATATATATAACTGTATAACACTGTGATTTATCAATCAATATGAAATCTTATCTGTAACGGAGTTAAACTCTACCACAGTGCCCAAGTTTTATAATTATACTTAATAATAACTTTGGCCTGTAAGCAACTGATAAGAAGCCAACAAAATATAAATGATGTTACTATTTTCTCTGCAAAAACTGTTGTCGTTTCTTTATTCAAATTCATTAAGGAGAATAAATGTATGAAATTTCTGAAGTATCCAAATATAATAGATAAGTTTATTCTATATAACACGCAGTGATACAATATTAATATTGTATCAAGTTATCACTGTGTGTTATATGTCAAATATATAATTATTTAATATGGACTGATATTCAACCACAGTGGCCAAATTCTACGCTTATTTTAGGTATCCAAATCAGTTATGTCGCTCGCCTGAAGTGATTAGACGACTTTATTTATGTATTAGATTACTTCCAGCATAAACTGGTATTATTCATTGTCATAATAATTTGGGATTGATATATATGCCACAAATGTACACACACACACACATACATGCCAACGGTATGCATTTCATATTTGAAAAACACGAAAAAATATTTGGATATTATTTATTTTTGGATTAAACACACACACACAAACGTACAGATACGCGCGCAGAGAGACAGACATCGCCGCAACAAACAAGTAACAATATCGAAGGTATATTCAGCACCACTTTTTTGAATAAATATTTTTTAAATAAATCACACACATTGCTCATCACATGAAAATGTAGGCCTTGAAAAAAGAGGAGATACCAAACATCTGCAAAATACTGAGCGAGAAAAAAAAACAGAAGAAGGAAAGAACAAGCAGTAATGTAGAGTGTGAATAGGGATGTATAAAAAGTTATTTTGTTAAAAAAAAATCAATTGGTCAATAGTCAGTATAAAGACATTATAATAAAAATCGTTTTAATTTTGCACGAAAAACAAACAGTATCACCAGTAGGAATCCAGTGAAGTAAATTTGTATTAGGCGCATTTCAGTTGGAAGATAACACTTATTAATTGCATAGTTTGCTGATGAAATGGATAACTGAAAGACAAAGACAACAGTACAATGATAATGACATAAAGTTTCAATGAAAAAAGATATTTTATAGACAATTTATCGGTTTATACATTAGGCATACATGATGTAAGAGACTATATATTGAAAACTGGTTTGTTTACTTCAGCAGTTGGCGTAATCACTATCGACAAACACACACACACACACACACACAAGCAGTTAGGAAACAATCGCATATTCATACATATGTCGTAAAAACCAGTGGCTGGAGACAATTGGTGATTTGAATAGCTCAAATTTGTTCTCGATGGAGCAAATGCATTCGGTCTTTGTGATTTATTATATCCAATAAAACTATTGTTTTTCCGTAATAGCAATTCCGTTTACTATCTCGCTTTACTGTACATGGAATGTGGTAACTCAAACCTCTGCACATATGTGAACAGTTCGACGTTGAAACCAGCTAGTCAGTAAGTTAGTGTTACTTTATTTAAGGTGACTGAATAGTAAGGGTTATCGAAGTAAAATAGGACAGTAGTGCAACTCTTCACATGATAAATAACGCCTATACTGTCGTTGTGCATATATGATTAGCATAAATAAATGATTTTATTTGAAGATTATTTGGTCTGAGCACTCAACTTGCAATTCTACTCCACTTAACAAAGTCACAGTAGACAAACGGTTTCATGATTACTTACAGAATAGGTGTTGCATTCTTGAATACTGAGTACAGTTGTACAAGATTCCATCAACGAAGGGAAAATACAAGAAACCAGTTGACATCAAAAGTAAGTATTATAACCTATGGTTATCGACCAGACACATTCGAAAGGAAAAAGGCGTAAAACATATATCTATGTATCCACGCATAATAATCAAATCGAGTTTGCAATCTCTGTTAACTTACCAATAAAAATCCTGGGTGTTCAAGATTTCGCCAAGAAAAGCTAGCAACCGACCATTCAGTTACAACAGAGTCCGAAAAGTTGCCATATCTATGCGAAATTTTACACGAATAGTGAGTATGGCCAGATAATACTAGTCGTGGGCGAAGAGACTCGAGTAGCTGATGCCGAGTGAATAAAAATCATATATGAACGTAAAGTGGTAGTTTCGATATAACACAAAATACAGCATTAGATATTTGTTTTTCGTGTAAAAAAGATTGATAACAAGTGTTGAGACTATACACCAGCCAAATCTCTTCAGTTACATCAATGATTATGCATTCATTGATGTTTACTATTCTCCCGATAGATACCTGCTACCTTGACGTTGTGGTTGGGCTTGCACATCGCAATTACCCAACAAACTACACTGGCTGGAACTATTCTTCCTGCAGGTCCTACCATGCCAGGAAAGTTGTTAGGATAGCGATTAGACTAAAAGCAGTTACCCGCATAGTGTAAGAATTTTTTTACCCTATGATGGGAGTCTGCGACGAAGTAGTACTGCCGGAGGCTATCAACCAAGGGACGTGTGTACTGCTCAGCAGTTCGCTCCGTCCTTCTCTATGGCTCTGAAGCATGGCCAATACGAGTTGAAGACATGAAAAGGTTGTCTGTTTTTGACCACAGATGTTTACGATCTCTTTCTCGCGTTAGGTGGTTTAATAAGGTAAGTAATGTTGACGTTAGGCGTAGTGTTGGGCAAAGAGGGAAAATCAATCGAAGAGGCTATAAAGTTACATAGATTGAGATGGCTAGGTCACGTGCTGCGCATGCCTAACCATCGTCTCCCCCGACGGGTATTACTAGCTGATATAGGTGCAGGTTGGAAAAGAGTAAGTGGTGGCCAAACAAAAACATGGCATCAATCCATGAAATCCCTGACAGTTAAACTGAGTCAGGTAGGGAGATGCAGACTTCCGGGTTGGAGCCCTCGGGACTCTAAGAATCAATGGCTGGAGACAATAGGTGACATGGCTCAAAATTGTTGTCAATGGCGCAGATGTATTCAGTTTCTGTAATCTTTCATATTCCTTTCTACCATTACTCATTCTGTTTCACTCATACTTAACAAAACTCTATTGATTCTCTTCACTCCTTCACTTCATATAGGAGCTTTCACCGTCAGGATACTCTGCCTAATCGGACAACAGGCATCACTAGCAAGAACTCTGGAATCTAGAGCCATGAGTGCATGTAGTGTTACGGAGACACGCATATAAGACCCGAGTTCAGTCATTCACTTAACCTCACCCGGCCAACAAGGTGAATCTGCAAAATTAACCTTGAGGATATCGGCAGACTCTTCGTCTAGTTCGCGAGATCTCACAATTGTGTGTTAGGGTAGAAAAATCATTTCTTGACTGGATCCCAGTAGATAGTCGTATGTGTGCAGTCCGTTTGAACGGGTCATTTAGAAGAAGCAAGGACGGCGTTACTCGTCATTGTATATTCGTCGTCTCCCCTTACGACCCAACAGACTGAAGTTCGGATGAACTAAGGGATGATTTCTACCTGAAACTTTCTAGTTTCCTGCAAACAGCAAAACGTTCAGATATAGTTGTTTTAGCAGGCGACTTCAATGCCCAAGTAGGGAAGTTGTGCCAGACTGAGAAGTATGTAGGTGGTACATATGGAGTTCCCTGCCAACGAACCGACAACGGTGATCGTCTTCTACAGTTTTGCTCAGATAATCATCTGCTCCTGGTCAGCACTAACTTTAGGTACAAAGAGAGACACTGCGTAACCTGGCGACCTCCATCACCAAATCAACGCTGGACTCAGATAGACCAAATAGCCATAGGGTATCGTTAGTGAGGGTCACTAGAAGACTGTCGCTCCTTCTGGAACACGTGCGTAGACTCTGATGACGCTTTGGTTCCCGCACGTTTATCCTTACGTTTAAACGGTCATAAAAAATGCTGGCAGCAAGGAGTTACGTCCCCAACTAGATCGAGACACTGAGTCCTTATTTAAGGAAGAAATAGCGAAACGTGTACCTGAGGTCGACAGCAGGACTGGCACAACACACAGTTAGCTGTAGACACAGCTGTAAAAGCCGTTAATAACCTAAAACCAAAAGTTAGTCAGAGCCATTGGATCTCCACCACCTCATCCAAACCGATTGACGCAAGACTGATTTCGGCGAGCTCTCATTATGATGAGGAGCGAAAGCTACTCAAACAAAAACTAACAAAAAGTCTTCACAACAACCGTGAACAGTGGTGCGAGAAAAAAGCGAAAGAGATGGAAAAGGCATCGGCGATTGGCAACACCAGACAACTACTTAGGCTTATCAGGAAAAAAGGTGGTAACAGCCAAACGATTAGTGAAGCAATCTCTGGCTGGCTGGATTCAACATAGAACTTGGCACCGAAGTGCAGCAGTTCGAGTTGCCACGTTCCAAAAAGCACACAAAGGTAGACAAGAAAATGAGTGAAGGGAATCAGTAGATTTGACAAGTATAAGAGTGGAACAGAATGAGTAATAGTAGAAAGGAAAGGAAGCAGTCCCTGAGAGAAATGGCACCAAAATTAGCACCCAGGATATACGACTGGAACGCTGGAAAGAACACTTTGAGGAGAGATTTAATTGGCGTACAGCCACACTCACCTTACCAAAAATCCAACACCCCCAGGAATGGGAAATAAACACAGGTCCACCTTCCCTAACTGAGGTTACTAAGGCTGTCACTAGTCTGAAACGAGGCAAAGCAACGGGAACCTTCTAGTTGAAGACACTGACAAAGTGCAGTCTTCTGAACACCTTGAGCACCAGTAATCTTCGAATGTTCGGCATATGATTCGCGCCCTGCCATCAAATGCAAGATGATGCTACAGGACTGGACTGGACTACATTGACTCCTAGCTTAGAAAAAGGGAGTGAATTGGTAGAGCACGTTGACCGCTTCACTTACTTGGGAAGAACCGTCAGCCCCAACGGGTTGAAATCTCAGCAAGGATACAGAGGGCTAGTTTTGCATATGCATATGCCAGTTTACGCCGTCTCTGGCGTAGACGTGATATCCGGCTGGCTATCGACCAAAGGGCGTGTGTACTGCTCATCAATCCGCTTCGTGCTCTTTCATGGTTGTGAGACGTGGCCACTGAAAGTGGAAGACATGAAAAGGCTAACTATCTTTGATCATAGGTGTCTGCGTTCTATCTCCCGCGTGAAGTGGCATAATAAGGTGAGCAATATTGAGGTTAGGCGTCGGTCGAGTGCTAGGTAAGGAGGGGAAATCAATAGACGAGGCTGTGAAATTACATCGACTGAGATGGTTAGGACATGTGTTACGTGTGCCTAGTCATCGCCTTCCTCGACGGGCGATGTTAGCTGATATAGGGTCAGGCTGGAAAAGAGCTAGCGGTGGTCAAACCAAAACATGGCACCAGTCAATGAAATCTACAACAGTTAGTTTAAGCCACGTAGGAAGGGGTAGACTTCTTGGTTGGGGTCCTCGGGACGTTAAAAACCGATGGTTAGAAACAATTGGTGATATAGCTCAAAATCGTTCTCAAAGGTGCAGATGCATCCACTCCTTGTGACTTATAATACCCAATAAAACAATATTGTTCTTCCATATTACTATTCTTTTTGCTGTTCTCTGTTTATTGCTGTGTTCTCAGTTTACTGTCACTATTTTGCATTTCTTTTTACTTTCTTCCCTTGATTTGTGTGCTACATGGAGTGTGGCGACTTGAACTGCTGTACATCGGTGCAAAGTTATATGTTGAAACCAGTCAGTCAGCTTATCATTCTATAAGCGAAGTCATTGTATATAGTTTTTATGTGTATTTTTGCGGTGCATCGGCAATGAATAGAGTAAAATGCTTAGAGTTTAACTGGGTGTTTATTTAGTAAAAACAAATACGTCTATCAAAAGCTGTTTTCGTAACTTCCTTTAAACGCTGCACATTTATTTAGTGGGATTATAATACACACAAGGCAAATCAAAAATAAGTTTATTAACTTAATAAATAAACAAAGACAACACTATGAGCATAAGATATTCGATGAATGATGACCGCCAATTACAAAAATTTACGACAATAATTAGGAGACAGTTTACGAATATTTAGTTAGTATTAAAAGTAAAACTAACTATAACACCTAATTCACAAAAGCGGTGAATAAAATTCGCAAATCATCGGTTGACACAGGATTATACACTACTGGTTGATAAGAATAAATGAAGACTATTCACAACATCTTGGCTAGAGAATCAGGCAACTGTTTCTGTACGTTACAATCAAACTTATAGACAATACATTACATGTGACTTGGGTCAGGTAGGCGAACCACTAGGGCTCGTGTGTTTTCTTGCTGAAGTTAATCTTATACGTTCAGAAAAAGGGAGTTTTTCTGGACACCGACACTCACTAGGCGACAAATTTAGCAGTCGCAAAGGTCAAGCATCAGATAAGTAGTGATAGGATCCCACACACTTTGTTATTATTCAATTATTTTAACGACTGTTAATCTCGCATAAGTGGTATATCATCAATTCTCACGCACTTTGTTATTGTTCAATTATCTTAACGACTGTCGGTACTAGATGGTTGGAGGCAATCGGCAGGAAGCCTTGGACCTAGGTTTCGTGCTAGTTGGCGCTCATCAGCAAGGCGTATCTGCAACCTTGAAGGAACTGATGTCCCTTCTGAGATTCGAACCCGCATCACCCAGTGCTGCAGTCAGAGACGTTACCACTGAGCTATTCAGGCTCGCGACTGACCTCCTGTAGGACTGTATTGGACAAAAAAAATATCTTAACGACTGTTAATCTCGCATAAGTGGTATATTATCATTTCCCACGCATTTTGTTATTGACTATTACGACCAATTATTTCAAATACCGTTAGCTGTCTGTATTGGTTGTAAAAATGTATAAATACCATCTCCTAAATAAGTTTATTTGTCGTAGTTGTTGTACTACAATATACAGTCAGAGAGCAGACTTTGTCTTTTGATATTTGCGTGGTTCGCTGAATCGGAAGGTACCAGAAGCAGATAGGCATATTAGTCAGGCGCAGACAGAACAAGGCGACAACGTCCTCATTTAATTCCCCTACAGTTACAACAAGTAGTTCACCAGACATGCTTTACACGACAGTTTATGGAAGAATATGATTAGAAACGGATTAACAAGACAATGAATTCAGATGAAAAAGAATATTTAGAAAAACGGAACTTAAAAAACGATACATACTTCTTTGGTTGCCTCTTTTGAAAGACAGTCTATTTTCGGTTTATTCGGAAGTTGTCTCAAATGGTTTGGCATAGCATCAAGAGGTTTCGTTGGACACCCAATGTCAGAAGTTCGATATAAAGGAAAATGCTGTAGCAGAACCGGGCGTGAATAAACGAAATTCGATGGATCTAGAATCGGAATATTCGTAACACATAAGATTTACAAAGGTGAAAGTACTAGCATTGAAATAACAATCTACAAGCCAATTACTGCAAAAGGTACAGAAAAAATATTACATGCGTCAGTTACATTTCCTGAATATGCAGTAGTTATATCTAACACTACGTTTGTGACTTGATGTCATCACCTACGACATTCTCATCTAGGTGTAAATTGAACAAAACGTAAATTTGACAATAAACTCTGGAAATCATGGTTACTGAAGCATTCTATATTTGCAAACCGTGAATTAAAGATACCAGTAGATTACTACAAGTAACATTTTCCCAGCCAGGTTAAAAAGTACTCTTCACGTGAATTTCTTAAACAACTATGTGGCATCATCACCTGATCTTGTTGATGTCGCAATAAGACCCAGAGCTGAAAGCATGTCTATAAATTGTGCTGATAGGTTTCAACATTCATTCAGACTAACGGGTAAGAAAAATGAAGCTATTTTATCGGCTTAGGACATGTTCTGGAATACTGTAGATCTAATATAAACCAAGATAAGCTGTAAAATGAATTGATTAGATTTCACCAGGTACAGTGGAAAGGCAGCAGTGGCTCTATCAGGAGTGTAATGATCGAACACATGTTTAAACTGGTTAGTCCACCTCAGCAAACACCTTCAAAGTAATCTACAAAGTGGAGAATAACCTACCAAAAGCAATAGGCCTTTGTCTCTTTTCCACCGCTGAAGCTCTAGCCGTTGTTAGAAAAATAAAATTATTTAACCGCTTCTACTATCATGGTAACAACCTTGTTGATTTCTACCGACTCGGATTTTATTTTTGTTTTTCCAACTCCTTATAACTCTTGTATTTCTTTGGAACTCATACATAATTCCATGTTTTCTTTCGTTTCTATATACATCCTGAATACAACTCATTCATTAAATTATTCATCTTGTTAAGTAACTCTAGTAAATTTATTCAACCTGTCTTATGCATTGACTAATATTAACAAATATGACTGTGACGACTGATCACTTTTGTTACTACTGTACTTTTCCATAAAAAAATTGCCTATAAATGCGACTGTACAGCTAAAGAGGAAAATGAATTCGCCGAAAAGAGCCTCTTCACTGAACTAGGTGTCTTTTTTTCGTCAATGTCTGAATGGGGATTATTCATGAATTAACTGAGTTTTAAACTACAACAAAAACCAAGTTTCTGATTTCGCCATTTACCTTTGACTTTTTATGAATGAAAAATGCGAAAGATGCACGACATTAGTGTGAATCAAATACATGGCGTAAGCCCACTCATTGACAAAACATGAGAATGATACTTTCAAACTGTGCAACATCAAATCGCATCAGAAACATCGTCTCAAAATTATTTCCTAGAACTATTGGGTATCGGTTAGATTTGCCACATCTCACATTTGTACATCGGACGGAAAATATGAGAAATGACAAAAATGATACAACAGCATACAAGTCTTAAAGCGTTATAAAATAAAAGGAATAAAAACTAAAGCAGTTAAACGAATGCCTTATTAATCTTAAACCACTGGGGACAGCTGAGAGTCATATGACCTAGATTGTCCAACCATAAGTTTCGGTGGTCATATGACTTTTTTAGCCAGGTAAAGTTCGGTCGATTACTTTTTGATCTAACTCTGCCCACTCCAATAACGCAGCACGGTTTACAAGACACTTCTCAGTCAACTTAATGGATAGAGTTCACCAGTTATCTTACATGTCTCACTTGAAAATCTACACCTAACCGAAAACTTAATCACTTTTCAATAAATGGGGTTGTAATTAGATAACCGAATTCTTTTCAAACAATTCACTTTAAGTATCTATTTTCCAAAATTACATAGAAGAAAGGTGCAAGCCGTCGGGCGACACACTGGACCTGTAGTTCAGGTATTTGCTCTTTCACCTGCATTAGGAATGGAAGTTAAACGGACCTTTTGTGCTAACATAGAGATTTCGTTGACTAACAATCCATCGAAAATGATCCAACATATCACGTGAATAAAATGGTCACGGCGCCATATCAGTTGGTTTCGTACAATCTGGTAGTGTTACAGAAGAATAATTCTTCACTAGAAATTTGTGGCTGGATTATGAGAAATGCAAACCGTTGTTCAGTGTTGGTACAAATTACTTGGCTGATGTCCTTTTGGGATGTTAAGAACCAATGGTTGCAGAAACTTTGTAGAGCTATTCAAAATCGTTTGCAATGATGTGTGTTACTGACAAGATTTATAAGTATATTTATATAGATGCAGGTATACATATATATATATATATATATATATATATGTCATGAATATCGAATGGAAGTGAGATGAATTTCATGAACGATGTTTGAGAAATAACATGGGAAACATGAAAATAAAGACAAAGAAGAGCAATACGGAAGACAAATCAGAAAACTACCGAATATAAATGCAAATTTTGATTGCATCATATGGCAGACGTATTTTGCCTATATCTGTGCGCCGAGTTGCAAATATATATCTCTTTTGTAATGTGCCGTTACGCATTCACTTCTCGTCATATTCTGAGAATGCTTACTTAACCCTTCATTTAATTACCCTCTCTCTCTGTCTCCTGTAATTGAAACTTAAACTTTCGCATTTCTTTGGAAATAGCTACGCTCAAAAATCCAGACATTTCACCTAAGAAATTATTGAAGTCTGATCCTTCTCGGAGATCATTTAATCTATTTGTTGTCAATAGCACCTTTTTCTTCTCATTATGTTCAGATGTCCAGTACTCCCTGGTGGTTTTCAGTGTTTCTCTAACTGATATCAGTCTGTGATCAAAACTTGGAACATGTATTAATGGCTAATACTCCAAGAAAATCCTCATAGTAAAAAAAATATCTGGAAACTGTCGGATTTCCGAAGATTAAGAGAAAACGTCATTTGAAGTTATCTAACTCATTGTTATTTTATGGAGAAACAGAGACAATTCAGTTACGAGATAATTCTCAATAGGTGAAATATGATTCATAAGACCTAAGAACATCGTGCATGTGAATATGAAATTCCCTCCTATTATACGACTTCCGAAATCCCGGTATTTACAAAGAGATTCCAGCTACTAACCTACTGTCTCAAACAAGTTTCCGTAGCAAACAATACATTTCAATGTGAATGAACGGAGATCTGTTACAACGGATACTGCGACAATGTCATAACTAATACCATGACATAACTTCTGTGATACTAGCTTGCAGAGGAATCTAGGAATTTGGTTTCAATCATTGCATCTTAGTCATATCGTGAAGGTATCATCGACATGTTTTTTATATATATGAAAACTCCCAGTAGTGAGGTGTAACACGTTATTTCCTAAACCTATCATGAAGCAGTATGTAAGTAAAGGACCCAATTGTTTTTCATCTAATTAAGAATTAGATACGCTGGGTTCTGAGTTAGAATGTAACAAGTAATATCATCACCTCTTAGGATGCAGGTGAGCCTTAAACAGGATGAAATGCACGTGCTAGATTCTAACGCTAGGTAATAAATTAAATAAGTGAATCTAAAGGATAATAAACAACGAGACATTAGTAACAATAATAATTAGGATCACTTTTTGCATCCACATTAATAGGAATGTAATGAACGAATTACTGTTTTAACTTACCATTTAGATCTACGCTTATATATGGATTTTTATCAGAAAGACCCATACTAAGTTCTTTCGAATAACAGCTTTCAGCGTTGGTTGAAGCAAACATTCTCAAACAGTCAAGGTATCTCTTTATGGACTTTAATGTCATTGACGCCTTGTAGCACAAATCACAGTTATCTCCCTCAAATGCAACGCTATTTGCAAAGACGAAGTGGATTCCAGAAAAAGACCATAAGTAGATAGGGGGTGTATAAACATTACCACCAATATCGTTATGAAATCGGTCGTTTAAAAATCCATTAGTACTGAATGAAAAGAGATCAGGTGCCAAAAAAGTGACAGAATATATATATAAGTAAAGGACATTCCAACTGCGTAACTTCATGAAAACATGTATGAGTAATAGCTCTTTAACCCGGCCGATAACTGCTACCTTGCCGTGGTAGTCGGGCTTGAATGCCGCAGTGACCCAACAAGCTAAACTGGCTGGGACTCATGTCCCTGCCAGGTCCTACCATGCCAGGAAGGTTGTTTGGATAGCGGTTAGACTAAAAGCAGTTACCATGGGGTACATGGGCTCCAGAATCCAATCGGACCAAATGGCGTACGAACCCATATGGGTCACCGGCAACCATGGGAACGCAGCACCTGACGCTGCTCCGCTGCCTTGCGGATTAGACTCCAAGTCAAAGGCTCGGGGGGTGGTCCCTTAAGAAAACCACCTGCTTCGGTCTGGGCGCCCGGGCAATATCTCAGCCCTCACACAATAAACGAAATGAAGCGACAAACTATTATTGAAACTCACCGCGTGCTCGTAAAAATGATTCCAAGAAATAATGATACATCAAGCAACTTATGCTCTTCCAACCTTAATTTTATTTTTATACTTAGTTTTCTGTATTTTACCTTCGCTTACCTTGACTTCTTAACCTTCGACAGCCTTTCGCCTTTGTTTGGATTCCTAGCCTATCTGTGTCGTTTCGAGATGTTAGTGAGTAACCCTCAAAATGGCTGTCCCCAATGTGACATCTAACACAGATATCCTGAAACCGCGTGCCGCGTTCAAGCTGGCCACCTACAATGTACGGACGCTGATGCAAATCGGACAACAGGCAGGGTTGGTAAGAACGTTGGAAAGCCTCGCTATCGATGTCTGCTGCATTTCGGAGACTCGTATTCAAGATCCCAGTGAAGTGCTTCGATTATCCTCTCCATCTGGAAGTTCTAGTAGTATGTACCACCTGCGCTTGTCCGGGGACCCTGTGGCGTCGGCATCCGGCGTAGCTGGTGTCGGCGTCGCACTGAGCGTTTGAGCCGAAGCTGCACTGCTCGACTGGATTCCCATTAACAGTCGTTTATGTGCTGTGAGGCTGGAAGGTTATACGCAAGTAAGGAGTAGTAGGCCAGATAGGCGGTGTCTATTTGTTGTCTCTGCCTATGCACCGACGGATTGCAGCCCGGATGCAATGAAGGACGAGTTCTACCACCAACTTAGCGATCTCTTGAGACAGGCGGGTCGGAGGGATATCGTAGTGCTGGCTGGGGACTTGAATGCACAGGTCGGGCGTCTGAGCTCAGAGGAGAATCGTCTAGGTGGTCAATGGGGACTACATGGTCGCAGGTCAGATAATGGGGACCGTCTTCTGCAGCTTTACGCGGATCACAGCCTATTTCTGACCAGCACCAACTTCCGGCACAACCATCGCCGTAGCGCTACCTGGCGTCCTCCCTCTGCGAACCAAGCTTGGACTTAGATCGATCACATCGCTGTCAGTTTCCGGTGGCGAGGATGCATACAAGACTGTCGCTCCTTCTGGAGCACATGCCTGGACTCCGATCATGCGTTAGTGTGTGCCAAGTTCGTCTTGCTATTTGGTGGGGTTCATAAAAGGAGTCGTCTAAACGTTGATGTGAGCAAACTAGTAGCATCTGCTACTTGTTTGAAATATCAGAATGAGTTACAATCAATGCTTGCCAGCAACCCCCCAAGTAGTATAGACGAACATTGGCTCCATCTGCAAGGTGCCATGCAAAGAGCTAGTGTAGCCGCTTGCGGCCTGAAAGAATGCTCCGCCAAAAACCATTGGGTTTCTGTGAGTTCCTTGCAACTCCTGGATGAACGCCGGTCCATTCCGGCTGGCAGCGAATACAGCAATAAGCGAAAGGCGCTGACGCGCAAGATAAGAAAGTGTTTACGTAAGGACCGCGAGGCCTGGTGGTCAGAACGTGCGGGTGAGATGGAGGCAGCTGCTGCATCTGGCAACAGTCGGAAGCTGTTCCAACTCATCCGAGCCACCGGCAGCAAGAAACAAGGTGTCAGCGAGACGGTCTGTGAGGCAGATGGCACGCCAATTACCAGTTTGAAAAGACGCCTGGAACGCTGGGCAGAGCACTTCGGGAAACAGTTTAGCTGGCCACCAGCTTCAATGTCTGCTGTCATTAGCCCCAGTGCTCCTTGGTCGGTTAATACAGACCCACCTACCGAAGCGGAGGTCCGTAAGGAACTCCAAGTGTTGAAACGCCATAAGGCGCCCGGCCCAGACAATTTACCCCCGGCTCTTTTTAAAGATGGTGGCGAGATTCTCACAATGGCTCTAACTGGGTTGTTCAGGAAGGTATGGGAAACTGAGAGTGTACCATCAATGTGGAACGAAGCCATCATCGTCCCTATCTTTAAAAAGGGTCGACGTAATTCGTGTGACAATAATAGGGGTATCAGTCTGCTACCAGTCGCGTCTAAATTATTGGCTTCTGTCTTGCTTCGCAGGCTGTGCAAAATACGTGAAGGATTGATTCGCGAAGAGCAGGCTGGGTTTCGTTCAGGTCGTGGATGCATTGATCATGTGTTCACCCTTCGTCAGTTGTTGGAACACCGCCACACGTATTGCAGGCCAACGATCGTTGTGTTTCTTGATATTAGGGTTGCCTTCGATTCGTTGGACAGAACTGTGCTCTGGAACTGTCTGTTAGAGAGAGGTGTACCTGAGAAATTTGTTAACATTTTGAAAGCCCTATACAGAAACACCTCAGGTAGAGTGAGGGCATACAACCAACTATCATCACTGTTCCCAACCAACAGTGGGGTTAGACAGGGTTGCCCAATCTCTCCATTTCTCTTTAACTTTGCCATCGATGACATTCTGGAGTCAGCTCTGAAGGATGTGCGTGAAGGTGGTGTAGATCTGCTACCTGGAGATAGACTTTTCGACCTCGAGTATGCAGACGATATTGTCTCACTGTGCGATAGCATGCAGGCTGCCCAAATCGCACTTAATCAGTTGGCGATCAGTGTCTGTAAGTATGGTATCTGCTTTGCACCGTCCAAGTGCAAAGTACTGTTACAAGATTGGCAGGAGCCTGCACTCACTCTTGCAGGTGAACCACTTGAAATTGTTCATAAGTTTTTGTATCTGGGTAGTTGTGTGAGTGCTGACGGAGCGCTGACGGATGAGATTTCCAATCGTATCGCGAAGGCTAGGGTGGCATACATCAACTTGTGCCACCTCTGGCGCCGTCGCGACGTTAGCCTGGCTGTCAAAGGTCAGGTATACAATGCTTCGGTGCGGGCTGCCTTGCTCTACGCCTGTGAAACCTGACCTCTCCAAGCTGAGGATGTGCGGCGACTCTGCGTGTTCGATCATCGCTGTTTCCGCAGGATTGCTTGCGTGCGATGGCATCATCGCGTGAGTAATTCTGAGGTTCAGTGCCATGTGTTTGAACACAGTGGAGATCACCATTCGTTGAGTGTCGTCATTTGGAGACACCGGCTTCGGTAGCTTGGACATGTGCTGCGAATGTCATCCCAGAGGCTTATGTACAGGTCTCTATTCGCTAGCCCTGCGGCGGGGTAGAAAAGGCAGAGAGGTCGTCAGCCCATGACGCAGTGTTGTGGGATGAAGGATATTTGTGCTAGGTTAGAATCGGTTGGTGGGCCACGACTCCCTGGTTGGAGTCCGAGAGATAGCTGGAATCGATGGCTCGAAACATTATCGGATATGGCCAAGAATCGTGGTCAGTGGCGAACGTGTTGCAATTTCCTTCTCTTCCTGATGATAGTTAACGAATACTGTTTGAACTTGTTAAACATGACTGTTTTCCTTCCTGATGAAGTTCTTTATTCGTTTTCTACCTATATTTTTACTTTTAATCTATGTTGTTTCATTATTATTGTGTGGCGCATCTTTCTTGATGCCATATTGTACCAAGTTTTTCTGCGTTTAAATAAATAAAAATAAATAATTAAATAAATAGCTCTTTAATAACAATACACACATCGTTTGCATTTCGAATTAATTAAAGTTTTTTATAATAAGAGAAATGAAATATTTGAAAAAATTAAAATTATTCATGAACACAATTAACCTGGATGAAACGTACTGCTACTAACACCATATACTACGAAATATCATAGAGTTCTATATCAGTCAAAAGGAGGGAAACAGGAAACTACACTATCACATCAACCATTACTGGTTTAGCCATTAATTCCTAGTTTGAAAATCTGTATGATAATTTGTGTCTTCCAGTTCCCACTTCTATAAATAACCAAAGCTTGTTGAAGGCTGAATTCACCAATATGGCATATCATCTCCGTTGTTCAGACCGATGACAGAAAACATTTCAACTTCGGAGGAATTCGAAGCCATAAAATATAGACCTGACATAGTTATCCTGAAAACTGACGAAGTATGTGATGTAATTACAATGAATAAATATGATTACGAAACTAAATTGTTATCCATTCTTGCCGATAAAAACGAACTCATGGTGGATATCCTATTTGCTTAGATTGTAAAATTGGAAGAGAAAGTGACATTTGATACAGTGAAGATTCATGAAATAAACATTACTGACGAACGGGAATTTTATTCTTACAGACCTCAAGTACCTGACTTTCTAAAATTGTATGGGTCGTCTAGGATTCATACAAGTGACAACATGTTATTCCCAATACTAGTATCGTTTTATCCTCCTTGGCATAAATTGACAAAATGACTATCTGTCTGTTTTCGACATAGAACTTTGCACCAATGTGCGGCAGTTCAAGTCGCCACACTCCATGTAGCACACAAAGCAAGAGAAGAAAGTAGGAGAAATGCATATTAGAGACAGTAAATAGAGGTGTGAGACAAAGGAACAGTAATAACAAAGAACAAAACAGTTTCATTGGAAATCATAAGTCACAAGGAGTGGATGCATCTGCACCTTTGATAACGATTTTGAGCTATATCACCAATTGTTTCTAACCATCGGTTTTTAACGTCCCGAGGACCCCAACCAAGAAGTCTACTCCTTCCTACGTGGCTTGAACTAACTGTTGTAGATTTCATTGACTGGTGCCATGTTTTGGTTTGACCACCGCTAGCTCTTTTCCAGCCTGACCCTATATCAGCTAACATCGCCCGTCGAGGAAGGCGATGACTAGGCACACGTAACACATGTCCTAACCATCTCAGTCGATGTAATTTCACAGCCTCGTCTATTGATTTCCCCTCCTTACCTAGCACTCGACTGACGCCTAACCTGAATATTGCTCACCTTATTATACCACTTCACGCGGGAGATAGAACGCAGACACCTATGATCAAAGATAGTTAGCCTTTTCATGTCTTCCACTTTCAGTGGCCACGTCTCACAACCATGAAAGAGCACGAAGCGGATTGATGAGCAGTACACACGCCCTTTGGTCGATAGCCAGCCGGATATCACGTCTACGCCAGAGACGGCGTAAACTGGCATATGCATATGCAAAACTAGCCCTCTGTATCCTTGCTGAGATTTCAACCCGTTGGGGCTGACGGTTCTTCCCAAGTAAGTGAAGCGGTCAACGTGCTCTACCAATTCACTCCCTTTTTCTAAGCTAGGAGTCAATGTAGTCCAGTCCAGTCCTGTAGCATCATCTTGCATTTGATGGCAGGGCGTGAATCATATGCCGAACATTCGAAGATTACTGGTGCTCAAGGTGTTCAGAAGACTGCACTTTGTCAGTGTCTTCAACTAGAAGGTTCCCGCTGCTTTGCCTCGTTTCAGACTAGTGACAGCCTTTGTAACTAGATTTTTGATGAGTTATGAAGGTTCTCTTTGAAATATAGTGTGGAATTTGTTGATGGTTCTGTTGGCAAGAATATCGAAAAAAGAAATTTTACTCATTTGCTGTAAACTCTTCATTTGCTAACGTACCTTTAACTAAAACTGTTATTATTCTTTGTAAATAAGTATCCACCAGTAGTGACCTTGCTTTTCCTAATCCTCCAGCGTATTCCTGGCTGGCTGTCTGAGTTTCAAAACATAATTTTGCACAGAAGTGCAACACTTCAAGTAACCACACTCCATGTATCACACAAAGGTATAGAAAGGATAAAAATAAGAGAAATTCAAAAGAACTATAATGAGCAGAAATGTACAGCAGAAAGAATACTGACATTGAAGAACATGACGACTCAAGCGATCTCGAAGATCAATGAATCTGTACCACTGACAATGATTTTGAGCCGCATCATCTCTAGCTGTCCGTTTTCAGAATCCCGAGGAACCCAAAAAAGATAGTCAACACCTGCTTACCTGGCTCAAACTAACTGTCAAGGTTTTCATGGACTGATATTAGGTTTCTGTCTGACTGAGTGAGTGACTTAACCTCTTTATCTAATGCTCTACGTCTAACCTCAATATTATTCACCATATTATTTTACCACTTAAAACGGGAGATAGAACGTAAACATGTGTGGACAAAGACAGCGATTCAGCCGCTTCATATCTTCCACTTTCAATATGTACGTTTCACAGCTATAAAAGAGGACAGAGTGAACTGTTGTGCACTACGCACGTTCTTTGATGGGCAGATAGCCAGATATTCCGTCTATTTTAGAGATGAAATGATTTGGTGAATGCTACGCGAGCCTTTTGTATCTGTGCTGAGATTCCATCAGTAATCAGTCACTGCACCAAGGCTGATGAAAGTTCCCTTTCTTCGAGTCGGTGCAGTCCAGTTCTGTAGCATCATCTATCATGGTATAGTCAGAAAGTACCGATCAGAAGACATTTCTGTTTGTCTTCATCAGCCGTCTTATTTTGGCTACCTTGTTGTGTCATTACAAAAGATTATGAAACCAGTGAAAGATGGCTGGTGATAACAAACACAGATGTCTCGTGGTCGATACTTTCTATCTGTACAATGAAATCACGAAATGTTTAACATTTACTCATCATAAGGAAAAAACAGTTTTGTTTAACGAAGAAATATTTCTTCTCAACGACTTTGTTTCCTAGTTCTACAGACGTATTTATGTTACGTAAAATGGCATTAAGTGGCGCTAAAAATTGCTCAGTCAATGTACATATGATATGAACATAGATAATTAACATGATTGGAAGGAGTAGAGTTTAATTGGATGAGCTAAAACATCTTGAAAGATTATTAAATAGGTGAATTGTTATTGAGACTTTTTAAACAAGTCGTGTTGTCACAAATCAAGTGTGATGACAACGATAAAAAAGGCGTTTATGAAGTAGAATGAATTTACCCGATATAATAAAGTGAAAAAAGAATATTAATTACTATGACCAAGGTAAAGAAAGGAGTTTAACAAAACACTTTTGAATACATAATGAGGTTTTTCATGTGTAGATAGAGCTCTGGGTGTACATAAGGAAAGAAAACGCAAACTCTTAGAGTAACTGAATTGAACTCTGCAGGTAACGTTAAAGGATAAATCGCGTGACCTACGTTGAGAACTTTAACTCTACTTCGCTTATTTAATAATCCTTCAGAATTTGTAACTCATCCACTAATCTTTTTCCTTATCATATGCATATTGACTGAGCAATTTTTAGTTCCATTTAATACCTTTTCGCGCAATATAAATACAACTAAGGAGCTTGAAAATGAAGTCATTGAAAAAAATTTCTTCGCTTAAAACTGTTTAACAATGATAGCCAATATATTCCTCAATAAACTTCAGAATGAAATCGATTTCCAAAAAACATTAATTGTCTGACAATATGTTGAAATTTTGACCCCTTGATATATGTGAAAAAACTTTAATGTAAAAACAGAAACTGGGCCAGATGGAACATACTTTATTAGAATTGTCTTGCTTCGACTCTTCATGAGGTGCTGTAGAAAAAGAAGCCGGATATCATACTAATTCAGATCATGTGGCTGCTGTCCACACCGCCAAACGTCGATTTCGAAGGACTAATATAGACCAATGAAGTGGTTGTATTTGGTCACACTAAAGTTTAGTCATTTCTATACTGATAAGAAGTGATTCTGATAAACTAAGGTTTCAGTTGCAGCACATTAATCCCCTGAAAGCTTATAAACTAGACAATGAGTAACAATCTTTGTGAGGGTTTGAAATATTATCCCACCACACAAGCCAAAGGGCATGAAATGAAGGAGGATCTTAACTAGGAACCGATTATTCGAAAGTCAGGTAACCCATTCAATGAGTTTGAGCTTCTGTGAAAATTTCACTGGAAAAACTCGTATGAATCAGACCAAATAAGGTACCTTATAGCAGTCAAGATGTGTTAACGATACAAAAAACAACCTAAAACATTTTAAAAATCAGGAATTAGAAGAAATCTGCACATCAATACACACATTTGCATACCACAATTAAGAAAAAGTGACGCACGCGTAGTGGAACCCAATATCGTGATTTCCAACAACAGCTTTCATTATAGTTTCTGTATTGTCGTGATGAAATATATCGTGAAATCTCGTTACCTGGGAACTGAAGTCAACATTAGTGGCCCATTTTCCTTCATCTAAAATATCTCCCAGTATGATAACTACACTGGGTCTCAGCATGTATAATGAAGCTTGGAAAGCACGTTTCATCTGCCAGTCTCTATCAGAATGAAAAAAGAAATATCTCCTATGAGAACAGGGAAATGGGAAGATCATCAGTTTCACATTCTAAACATAAACTTAACAGGCAAGCCTCTCTGTAAGTAAGCTAAATTACAGCTTTGAGAAACTAGTAAATATCCCGACAACTGAAGGAACAGTAGCAAAATAAAATCTGCGTAGGCAGGATTGGGAGTGCAAGACTTAAGTAGTTAGAAGTTGATGTCTGTCATGGAAAAACTATATATTTTAGGTCCTCTGCATAGTTGAATATTCCTTATTTCCTAATATTCAAAAATAGTCATTATGGAAATAGGAAAACCTCAGTAAACCAAAGGACGGCGAAGAATGCAATCAAGCGAGGACCTTAAGTCGATGTATATTTTTATAGCTGAATATATATATATATATATATACCCTATTCGTGAATAGTCTTCATAAGAGGAATCTTTCAGAGTTCGATGACGTAAGGAAACAATGGTATTCTTCGTTGTCACGCGCATATGGTGAAGTAGGTCTTGATAGCTGATGATAGCGGCTGACTGATGTACCGAACTGATTGAATCATTATATTTCCTCATGTACACATACAAAGTGACTGAATACTCTGTTGGCCTATTAATGGTTTTTTGTTATAAATCCATAACGAAATAACTTTCAAACCTGTTAACATCATCTTTAGAATAGTTAAATTGAATCTATAATGCCTAAGTTCATTCTTTTGTTGTTCCAGACATAATTTTATGGCCTAATTAAAGCGCCCAAAACTCCCTAACGCATAGTTGTCAGATGATCATGCAAAAAAGAACTTTGTGACCTAGTAAGCCATTTCTTTTAGAGTCATTAAAACCACTTAAGAAAGACGTCAGTAAAGCACACAAAAGCAAAATCAATACGAAGCTTATGATAACAGAGTAGCGTTTCTCAAAATATTTGCCCCGTAGTTAGCGGTTTTAAAAAAATTGAATAACACTTCCTAGTTGCAAAATGACTTATGGAACTGGACTCGGTAGCTATACCCAACTTTTTAGCTACTGCATTGGATTAGCATACTCTAGAGCATGACAAATGTTAAATATGAATGGCCGCTAAAATGTGCACGCGTAGTTTGGTGGTCATCAAAGTGCTTCAACTATTTTCACTACCTATACATTTTTAGAAAAAAGCGTTTGGTTCACAACTTCAGAAAAGAATTTCGAAAATTACTATTAGATATTTTAGAGAAACATGGACGATAAACATTACATCTGATCTGTTGTGACGACGGCTTGTTCGCATTTGCCCGGGTAACTCATATCACAAAGGCCTACTCATCAACTTGATGGGTCCATTATCAGCTTTGAAATATTCGGAGCAAAATAAGTATTATTATTCATCACGACGGTCTTTACTTTGTGTCCTCTTTTATGAATTGCAATGTTATCTGGATTAGAATAAGTCGGCAGAAATATCGTATGTGAATCAACAACAGTTTAGATTACTAACAAACAGCTATGTTATGCGAAACGATTACCAAAATAGAAACATGCCCATAACTCCAAATAACGTTTAGTGATCTGGTTTTGAAAGTGTTTAGTCGCAGTTCCTTATTATTATAGGCTGTTAACGATATTCAATACTTGGTATTTGTATCTCAAGGCAAGAATGACAGTCGTTTGGAGTTCCACGAGCTTTGATATTTGAATGCATCTTTCAGGTCAGTTGGCTTCACTAGTACTTACACCACTATCTGGTGTCATGATGCCTGAGGATCCTGATTAATAGACAAGGGTGGATAAGACAACAGAACTTTAGAAACTAAGCTCATGAAGCTTATTTTGTGATTATCAATAAAGGATATTTCCCTTTGACAAAGATTGAGATGTTTTATTTTCAGAATTTAGGTGAAATTTTACTCAGTATAGCATTTCAAAATAGCCTTTGAGGCCTGTCTACCTAAATCCGTTTAAAGTTACTTACAGCTTTCTCAATCCTCGTTGAGTTCGAGACTCAATGTCTATTATTTTTGCGAATCCATTGTGACCACACCATATGTTCACTGGACTATTACTAAATCCTTCGTCCATTGTTCCAGTCACCTCCATCGCGTATCACGTAATTATTCGTTCTTTTCAGTTAGTGTCATACTAACGGATGGTTCGCTAACATGTTTCCTTGATCGACGTGAACAATTGTCTAAAGTTATTTTTTGCCGTTCGGTCGGTTTTCGACATAGAACTTTGCACATATGTGCGGCAGTTCAAGTCGCCAAGGAAGAGAAGAAAGTTAAAAAAAAGCAAAAAAATTTTTTGCCGTTGCTTTATTGCAATTTCCGCTTTCATTGAAGATCACTGGGGAGTCTTGTAGATTTGAACTTAAGCTTCCGCGTATGCAGCAAAAGACCCCCTATCATTGTATTTTAAGCAGAATCATTATTCCAAGCTGCTTCACGACAAGCGTTCACATTCTATAGATCTTATTGAACTAACCCCAGTAAGGCTTTCCATTCCCACCGTGTCTATACAGTAAAATAAACACATGGTCACTTTAGAACTACGTCTTTCAAGTGCAGCTGCTGATCTACTTTAATCTGCAATCGCAGTATGGTTTATAAGATTCGTGTGGAGTTGGATTTACTTTACGTATTATGCAAGGTTTTTCTATGAACGTGAAATCACTGATGACAGGAAATAAATAACAGCTGATAATTTCTGATGCAGCAAACAATCCTCATGGACAGTTGCTTCACAACTCGTGAGTTGAGAAAGTATCATATGAAAAAAGGATATTTCACACCTTAAAAATTAAGCGTGAAGTGTCTACTCTGAGGTGTAATAAAGTGAATGACGATACATGCACACCATGTCACACAAACAGATTATACATTCACACTGCAAGATATGAACAAACCTATATGACAGAAATCAACTAAGCAGAAAATTGAATCAAGACATCAAGGAGGAAGCTGAGATTAGTGCACATTAAGAGACGGAAACTACATAGAGATGAGGGGTCTTGCAGCCATACAACATTATTTATACTGTGCACATATTTTACACAGACGTCCGTCGGTGACGCGTGGCCTATGTAGAGGCTGCATGTGTAAACTACCGACTCTTGAGTAATCTAATGTATTTTTAGCTAGTCTGCCGTGATCCATCATCTCTTCAATCGAAGGCAACGTAATTGATCTGAGGGAAACACAGGATTACTGCCATACACACAGTGCAAATACAGAACGCCAGATACATTAACAATTAGTTCATATTATAACGACTATTTCTTCAGTCTAGTCACAATCGGACTAACATGTTAAAAACTTTAGGAACAATCATGCTGAAACACATAATTCATCCTAGCGTGAAAGTCTGTGTAACAAGACACCTAGACGTAAATTGTTAGCTGCTACTTGACTGAAAACACACCAAACATGTAAGTTCATCTCACTCTTACCAAAAATTACTTAAGAAGCAGATTAAAAGTTTCAATTATATACGATCTTAATGCACAACTATCTATTAAAAACATTCTTCGACTGAACATTAACAAACAATTCCATATAAACACGTAAAAACAATCCAAACCTTCTGATACGATCAATAGGATGACCCAGAACATATCCAAGAAGATGCGTATCGGCTAAGACCATTACACTAACCCCAGCTCTTGCCCCATGTTTATTTTCCACATCATTTCGGCGAATATCCGGCCAAAAGCAATTGTATATTGTAACATAGTAAATGAGATATTCACAGACCCATACTAAAGCAACGAAATAAACAACCAGATACCATGCTTTGCGTTTCTGAATGGAGCGAAGAAGTACTGGAAAAGCACGACTTTCATTTAATCTCCTGAGGTTCTGAAACAAAAAACAACATTTGTTTGTGACTTAGGAGACAAGTGTACAGCAAAAAGACTTTATTATGGTTTTAAAATTTATTTCGACATTTATTTGTAGTAAAGTTCTCCGACGTCAAAAATTCCAATGAACTTCCACCCATCCTCCCTCATGTGATACACTAGGTAAAAAATATATAAAATATTTACAGGGACTCACGGTTAACAAATCCGCCAGATGCAGCGTCACGATGAGTAGCATGAAATATTGATCGCCTAGCGAGTTCGTAGGCCTCTTCATCCTTCATCTCGTACTTATAATTAGTATCTAAAACACCATAGGCGTAGGGACTTCCAGATCCCACAGAAAATAGGTTTCCAGAAGTCCTGTTTCCATCTGTATCAACGTAGTAAACACCCGGTCCATTTTTATCCCAACCGACAATCGTTGTGCCGATACTCAAACCCATCCCTTTATAGTTATAAATCATGTTCGCTAACAGCTTAGATGCAGCTGCAACAGATATCCTTTCCTTATTCCTCAATTCGAATAATCTACAAATAAGGCAAGAGCCGCGAAGTACCTGCAATGCTTTGTCAAAACGCGCTCCCAAAACTGACAATCAGCAGCACCACCAGCCATAGTTCCAAGTAAGAATTTGTCAATCTCAATTATTTTCTTTGTGGTTCCAGAAGCTGAAGTCCGTGTTCAATCGGTTTTATGTAATTCTGAAGCTGTACATTACATGATCAGCTTAGTACCTCCGACTTTCGACTCAAGTGAAGATCAAGTTCTGATAGGTGTGCCAATTGGTCCTTATATGGGTATTCATCCTGAAACCTATTTAGAACTTCAAAAGGTGTTAATTCTGATAAAGCCATGATGAAGTACACACGTTTGTATTTGCGCCAACATACGCTGCATTTGCGTACAAACCAACCGCTTTCATTTCGTTGTGTGCGAAAATAAATCTAGGTCCCTAATAGCTTGAAATACGTATAATGTAACCAATTTCTACATTAAACTCATGTAACGTTATGTAGTGTATGTCCACTGAAGCATTTCGTTACACAGAATATCAATACTGTTTGTTGATCGATGATGTTGACGACCAACTGTTCTCCCCATGACTGTAAAAGGATACACATGTGAATGTAAACCTCATTTTCACGCTTCTGCTATTTCTAGTACTACCATTTATTTAGCAATTCATTTTTATTTCGACAAAACCATGTTTCATAGCGATTTTGTTAACTGAGGAGCCTATAACACCATCTGAATTATTACAATGAACAAAACAAGCAAGTGCAGTGTTGACGGGCTTTCGTTCGGAAAGAAGGGAAAAATAATTTGAATGAATAGGAAGGACATAACCAGACGAAAATAATCAGTGACAACGGACAAACCGATAAACTAGGTAAGTGAAAGTGAATAAATATAAGGTGAAAGTTTGAGGTCACAATGCAAACATATTGGCAAAGTTTTGTCCTTCATAACTAGATAATATTATTACTATTTTTCCCCTGGGTTCCAAATGGAACAAAGGACTTCAACAACACATCTCCGCTTTGTTTTATTTTCTTCTGTCCTCTCTTACTGGGTCCACGATTGCCCACAATCTCTCATCTCTTCCTCACACGATCTCCTCCACGTCAACCTAGCACCGACGACCTATTCGTCGCTTCCCATTTGGATTCCACTCGAGTAATGGCTAATATTGCTCACAATGTAATTCGTCGGTCTCCTCCTTTTCCGCCTACATATATGATGAGCGACCGCCTCTTGGTTGGTTTACTCTCAGGCAGAGTTTCTTGTTACTAATTATTTCTGGCTGGCCATTTAGTCTTCAGTACGCAGCCAGTGGAGGCAGCTGTTCATAACAGTCTGCAACGGCGTGTTGGAAATCCTTTTCGTGACACGTCAAGTTTGTGACCCATATAGAAGAGCTGACTGATTTCATATTTGTGTTGAAAACCCGAATATTGTTGTTTATGGAGGCTGAATGTACAAGATCTCCAAACTGGTTTCGGATTGATGATGGTGTGTTTTGCCCTTCCGATTCTGCCTGCCTCTGACATCTTCATCTGTTCCGACTCCTTGTGGTTGAAACAATACTTCCTAGATAAGAGGAGGCAGGAAGTAACCTCTGTTAAATCTCTCCCTCTGATGGTGATTGGTGCTGGTTGTTGCGGTTCGTCGGTTTTCTTCATCACCTCCGTCTTCCCTGCGTTCACTGAGAGTCCTGTCTTTTCTGGCTGCTTCTTCAGCCAGTGTGTTGCTTTTCGCCTTTCGGTCTTCCAGTTTGTGTGACATTAAGCACAAATCATCCACGCGCGAAGTCCACATCTTCCAGAGTCTTCTTATCGATGGTCCAGTGTATTCCTCCCTTCTTACTCCCTGTGCACAGTCTGACGCATAATCCAGTCCACCACAATTAAGAGTATCATCATGGGTGATAATAGGCAACCTTTCTTGTCTCACTGCTGTATCCACTTCGAACGCCTCACTGATTTTTCCGTTGTCGATCACATGACACATGTCATTTTCATATAGTCAGCTGTTAAGTGAGATTGATAAAGATTTGGGCACTATCTGGCTTTTACTTGCTTGATCGCATTTGAATTTTCTGCCTTGTTTGGAGGAGCGTTGTCTACTAGCAGGCAGTTCTGTGCATGCATGTGGTTGTGTATTTCTGGACGAGTTGCAGGTGATGGTCGATTTAAGTGTCCTTTAAAGTGATCAGCCCATTGTTCTATCTGTTTATCCTCCTTGTTAATCACGTTCTCATGAACATCTTTTATTGGTTTCATCATCTGGGCTGATCTCTCTCCGGATATCGAGCACCCTGGTTATCTTATATAATGTTATGAGTTATTTTTTTAACTGTGACTTGTCTGTTCTACCTCAGTTACCGACCAATGTGTCGTAGAATTGTCTTTTTTCTTTCTTAGCACTCTTGTTCACTTCTTTCTTTATTCAGTGCACAGTCCACTGAACTCGGCTTCTCTCTCTCCTGTTTCGAATCTTTGCATTGAGCCACCTTCTCTTACACCATCCTCTTCTCCTCATTTCCATTAGCTTCCAGGTAGGTGTTTATTTATTTATTTATTCCAGGTAGGTTCCCTTTCACAGCCATTCTTTGTCATGTCTCTTCTTTCTTCCTAAAACATTTGTACGCGTTTCCTCGAATATCATCTTCAGAGAGTCCAAATGTTCTTATACTCAGGCTTCCTCTGTAATACCAAGCAGTGTAGTCAAAGCATCCTCGTAGTTTTGTCCTTCAGTTTCTGAATGTTGAACTTCAATCGCAATGGCCCGTCTCCAGTTGTTTTCAGGAATTTCAGCTTCAGCTTGAAGGTTCCTGGAAGTAGATAATGGTCTAAGCTGACATCTACCCCTTTTCTCGACTTTCTGTCCAGCAGACTGGATGCGTCTCCGCTTCCTTGAGCAGTTTTGAAGTGAAATCTGTCTGGTTTGTGGTGTGTCCATCAGGTGGAATCCATGTTGCTTTGTGCATATCCTTATGTTTGTATACGCTGCCTCCGATCATGAAACGATTGAAAGCGTAGAATTCTGCGAATAATTCCCCATTCTCATTCATTAAGCATATATTACGAAAAGGCAACAATCCATAGTTAAAATGAATCTCTATGCTCATAACAACTAGTGAGTCGGTGTCTCATCTGTAGAACGCACACCAACCACGCTAGCGGTGTGAGGTTCGGTCCTAACGGAAGCACTCCTTCACCTCGGCTTAACAGAGTAGGAATAGTGGTATTCACGGAGTAAGCATATTTATACTCATTCAATTACATGAGATATGTATATAGATATAACACAATGTTATAGAACAGTGTCAGTAGGCTAACTTTACATAGGTTAGATATCTATTCTGATGAGTATATGAGGTGTGTAAGCTTTGTTATTTCCATCCTGAATGAATGAAATCGTCAATGACGCATCGAATAAATCATATTAAAAATGAAGCAAGCGGCCAAATTTCACGGTGATTATGTCCATTTGTATCAAGTTCATATTTAAAATTATTCAGCTGAAGACATTATGCGAGTGGAATTTACATTGTTACACGGAATGTTGGGAGACCACAACTGCTTACCGCATAAAGTAGCGTCAGCCTATCTTGATGTCACTGGGCATCAGGATGAGAAGAATTCCATGCGTGGTCCTATTGAAATGCAACGCTACTTACAATTAGTATTGCCTTTCTGTCACTAGGAGGCTTGCAGGTGCATCCTACCACTGGCATATCAGCTCGTAAGTCACATATGTCATCATAACCATTCATTTTCAGATAGTCAGGGTATTATAGATTCCCCCAGGAAATATTTATGCTTATCGTAGATGTAGAAGCGACACTTGTGACTAACAATTTTTAACCCCTTATAATTCTTAAAAAGCTCATCTTGAGAGACTTTATGAAGTTCATGCTAAATTGCTTAACCATATGCAATTACTGAATGCTGCTATACCTAAAGGTACAACTGATAAAAATGAAACCGACTTGAAACTCCTCATCAAATCAGTGGAAGTGCTACAAATTTTTTGATAAGATACTTAGTCAAAAGAAATGCTTTGAACAGGTAGAAATAAGTGTTACCCAAGATCCCGTGATCACCATATTTTGTATGTGTGAACTATCTTTCACAGTTCAGAATACGAAGCCATAATGCGAAGGCGGTGTTTGCTTAGTCCTATAATTGACAATGAATTCAATGTCTGAGATAGTGGAAATTACGGGAAAATGCTATCTTGACCACAGAATAAGAATGAATAATTAACCGTAGTCAGAAAAGGTAGGCAAGGACAAATTGGTTTAGACTTAGATTACTTTCTTCTAATTGCAGCAGATTCAACAGTACAATAACACTTATCCATGCCTTTAAAACTGGTCCGTCCTACATAGACAGGAATAAATATATTATTGCACTCCATTGACTCGTTTGCAAAGTTCCAGTAACATTGTGGTGAGAGATGGTTGCTAGCCAAATTGGTTGACAGTAATTGAGGTCAATGTTAGTCATGTGAAAACAAAGTCAAGATGGACAGGCGGATACAGTTAACATATAGATGAACTGACACAGCCTCAAGAGATGCAAGGTTAACTTTGTGTGAGAAACAACCAATCAACAGACTGTATTTTCTACTAACATTAACCTAAAATAATGTACATCAAATTCATAAATATGTGTTGATTTTCCGTAATAAACGTTCTGTTGCCTGGCCCTTGTCTTCTGTTGTTACAACATTAGTCCACCTGATCGCAGCAATTCAACGCAGCCGAAATTATTACAACCAATAGTTCTGTGGAGATGAAGGCTTTATTTATTAATAAGGCGTGGAAAGGTACTTGGTAGCATAGTTCATCGCAAGTGAAATAGCGCTTCAGGTGCAACAGATCCACTCACTCAGTTATTCGTCTCATGTAAATATTGCGTGAAATTATATGCTAACACCCACAATCATATTACTGGACATAACACGTCAACTGAAAGAGACGAAACAACTTAGTGCACCACGTGTTAGTATTACGTGCTGTAGACACCCTATTGATAACCTGAGTTATTTCGGTTGAGTTAGCATTTCGCAGGATGCTGGACTTGGCGTAGAATCAGCAGTAGTAA